CGTGGTATTTTGTGGAAGAGCCACACTCAAGGGGCCAAAGAGCTGCATGTGGCTCGCGATCCGCAGTTTGCCGATCACGATCCTAGGGCAAAGGAAACTAAGGAGAAAATAAACAAATAGGACTCCTTCAAAATAAAAAGCTTCTGCACAGCATGAGAAACCATCAATAAAATGAAAAGGGAGCCCACAATATTTGGCAATGATACATCTTACAAAGGGTTAATACCCAAAATATATAAGGAGCCCTAGCTTGTTTGGCTCACTGTATAAATTGTCGGCCTGCAGACTGAAGGGTCCCTGGTTTGATTCCAGTTAAGGGCACATGCCAAGGTTGCATGCTTGATCCCCAGGAAGGGACATGCAGGAGGCAGCCAGTCAATGATTCTCTCTCATCATTGATGTTTCTAACTCTCTCACCCTCTCCCTTTCTTTCTAAAAATCAATAAAAATATATTTAAAAACATAAAAAACCCCAAAATATATAAGAAAGTCATACAACTTAACAAAAGGAAGAAAACAATCCAATTAAAAAATGGGCAAAGGACCTAAATGGACACTTTCCAAGGTGGATACACACATGGCCAAGAGACATATGGAAAAGTGCTCAAGAGGCAGTTCCATATTTAATTTTTTGAGGAAATGCCATAATGTTTTCCATAATGGCTGCACCAGCCTGCATTCCCACTAGCAGTGTACTAGGCTTCCCTTTTCTCTACATCCTCGCCATCACTTGTTATTTGTTGATTTACTGATGGTAGCCATTCTAACATGTGTGAGGTGATACCACATTGTGAGGTGATACCACACACAGAGCAGGGTCGATCAGGGGGTTGGGGAGCTCCCCCCTGTCGCTCACAGAGTAGGGCCGATAGGGGAGCTGGGGCACCGCCCACTGTCACACACAGAGCAGGGCGGATCAGGGGGTTGGGGCGCTGCACCCTGTCACACTCAGGGAAGGGCCAATGGGGAGGTTATGGTTCTACCCTGTCACCCACAGAGCAGGGCCGATCAGAGGGTTGGTGCGCTGCACCCTGTCAAACACAGAGCCGCAGGGCAAATCAGGGATTGGGGAGCTCCCCCCTATCAGGCACAGAGCAGGGCTGATCAGGGGGGTTGGGGCGCCTTCCCCTGTCACAAACAGAGCAGGGCGGATAGAGAGGTTGTGGCCCCTCCCCCTGTCATACACAAAGCCGCAGGGTGATCAGGGGATTGGGGAGCTCCCCCCCTATCAGGCACAGAGCAGGGCTGATCAGGGGGTTTGGGCCCTGCCCCCTGTCATGCTGATCCCGGTGCCGGGAGCCTCGCTGCTCTGCTGATCCTGGTGCTGGGAGGCATATTACCCTTTTACTATATAGGATAGAGGCTTGGTGCATGGGTAGGGGCTGGCTGGTTTTCCCTGAAGGTGTCCTGGATCAGGGTGGGGGTCCCCACTGGGGTGCCTGGCCAGTCTGGGTGAGGGGCTGAGGCCTGTTTTCTGGAAGCGGGTAACTGAAGCTCCCAACTGCTCCTTTTTTTCTTTTTCTTTTTTTTTATTCTGGGCCAGCTTTAGCTCTGAGGCCTCGCTGCTGAAAACATCGATACAATGTTGCGGTCCGGCTGGCTGAAGCCCGGCTGAATGAAAGCCGGTTTCTGGGGTTTTGTTTAGCTTCTTATTTGCAACATAGTACATAGTTGCTTAGAGTTGCAGCTGAGAGGCCGGCAGCGGCAGGCGGGGAACGTTGGAGTTCGCCGTCACTGGAGCAAGCAAGCCTCCCTGTTCGCTTCATTGCATGGCTGCCAGCCACCATCTTGGCTGACAGTTAATTTGCATAAGGATATGCTGATTAGCCAATGGGAAGGGTAGAGGTCGGACGCTAATTACCATGTTTCTCTTTTATTAGTGTAGATAGATACTATGTGCCATAAAAAGGATCCCTTACTCTTTGAGAAAGCATGGAGGGACCTTTAGCGTATTATGCTAAGCAAGAATAAGCCAGTCAGAGAAAGACAAGTAGCACATGATCTCACTCATAAGCGGAATTTAATGAACAAAATAAACTGATAGTTCCAAAATAAACAAAATAGTTCCAGAGACATAGAAGCATTGAACAGAGGGAAAGCGAGGGAGGTTGGCTGGGTGGGAAGAGATAAATGAAAGAACTTGTATGCATGTGTGTGTGTGTGTATGTGTGTGTGTGTATGTGTGTGTGTGTATAGATATATCTATCTATCTATCTATGTCTATACATACACACACACACACACACACACACACACACACACACATACACACATATTAAATCCATGGTCACAGACAATAGGATGGTGAAGGCCTGGGGTGGGTGTTGGAGGTCGGCTAGAAGGGCTCAATGGGGGACATATGTCATTCTTTCAACAATAAAGATTTAATAAAAAAAGAGTTAGTTATCTATGAACAAATTGGCACCAAAGAAGGCATAAATGTTTAAAGAAACCTTTAGCAAATGCTTCTGTAATATGAACCATCTCCTCCTGTCCCTCCACTTCCCTAATTTTTGCTCTATAGACTTGATTCTTTGCATATTGTTTTAAATCCGTGCCCATGTATGAATAAAGCTTTGCCCGAAGCCCACTTCAAGGGGATTATTAGTCCCTAACATCTTGGCAAGAGTAAGGAATTTGGCAGTTGAAAATTCACTCCTCTTCGTGAGTCCAACTTTCTTGGGCAGAGAACAGTGACATCAGGTCCATCATTAATATGAGGGGATGGAGGGGAAGGGAAGCTCTCACCTTTCCGCAGTAGAAAATATCCTCTCTCTTCACCCTTCCTTCTGCTATCTTCTCTCTGATGGCCTCCTCCACTTCGTGCTCATTCCGGTAGAAGTAGGCCCCATCAATGTGCCGGTACCCAACATCGATGGCGAACTTCACTCCTGCCCTACAGATCCCCTTAGGAGTCTGAAATAAAGGGGTTGAAGTTTGGGAGAAAAGAAATGAGTCTTTCATTTAGTTTAATCGGTATTAATCAGGACACTGCTGTAGAGTGAAAATGACAAATTCCCAATTCCATGGTGTTGTGATTGGAAGATGGTATCTAGAGGCTGGAGAAACTGACCTTCTAGGGAGTATTCCATCCTCAGTGGGAGACTCCATCCATCCCAGGTCTTAGATTTATGGTTTCAGAAATGTGACCTGATCAATGTTACCAGTGACAAGATATTTCATGGTTTCCATGCTATAGGAAGGCACAGTTCATTGACGTAGGTTAGTTATAAATCAAAGGTTTGGGTGAATAAACTGAGATATAGCCACAGAATGGAAAACTAACAGGTAGTAAAAAGGAATGAACTATTGATAGACACAGCAACATGGATGAATATCAAATAAATATACTGAAGAAAAGAAGCAAGACAAAAAAGAATGGGAACAGAAGATGGTGGCTGGCAGTATGGGTGTGAGTGAGTGAGGGGGTGAAAGGAGAGTGTGTGGATGTATGTAGTGTGTGTGAGTGAGTGAGGGACAGGAAAATCTAGCAGGAGTATCAGAGGCTGGCAGACCAGGCTCTTCTGAGCAGGGAGATCCTACCACTGCTGCAGGCACTCTCCAGCCTGCGGGGCTCAGGCATGGAGCCCAGACCATCTTGAAGGGGAGAGTGGCCTCCTCTAGGAACTCATCAGCACAACCATCTAGACTGGTTTTGACACTTCCCATGACCCTGCAGCCACATCAGCCAAAGTCCTGCTTCCCCGCCCACAGATCTGCAGACCTTCAGACCCTGGGATGTCCATCTCCAAGGGTTCACAGATCCCGCAGCAGTAAGTGCGAATTCTACCTCCCAGGCTGCTGACCTCCAGACACCAAAGTTGCGTTTCCACTGCACAGGCCTCCTGAGCCCATTGCCTGGCTCCCGGGTGCCTCTGTGAGCCCCCACTGGGTGCGCTCATATCCAAACAAGGAAACACAGCCCTGACAACAGAAACTGGGACTTCCCCCTCCCCACCTGCCTGCCCAGAGACACCACAGTTGCTTGGCTTCAGCAAGTGGATCCCTCTGAGCCTGCCACCCTGGCAGGCAGCTGCCAGGTGTCTCCGTGAGCTGCCATTGGGTGTGCTCATATCCAACCAAGGGAACAAGGCCACGGCAGCAGAAACTTGAACTTCCCCCTCATCAGCTGCCGACCTCCAGTCACCGCAGTCACACTGAGCCAGCGCACAGGCTCCCTGAGTTTGCTGCCCCAGTAATGTGGCTCTTGGGTTCCTCTCTGAGCTGCTATAAGGTGTGACCCCGGCTGCCGGCATCCAGTCCCCTCAGTTTCTCCACTCCAGCACGTGGGCCCCTGAGCCCACCGCCCCAGCAGAGGGCACCGGGGTGCCTCTGTAAGCCACCAGTGGGCGTGCATAGCTAACCAAAGGTACACATCTCCTGAAGCAGAAACTGGGACTTTTGCCTCCCCAGGGCCGGCAGCACACATGATTATGCAACTCCAGTGTGTAGACCCTGTGAGCACATAGCCCCGGCACACAGTTCCTGGGCCCCTCGGTGAGCTGCCACTGGGCACTTGCATCTCCAACCAAGGGCATATGGCTCCCTTAGCAGGATCCATGACACCCCCCTCCCAGCTGCCTTCCTCTGGACACCTTGGTGTGTTACTGAGGACTCACCTCCCTAGACAAGGTCACATTGTTTCAGCCACAGACTCCCCATATTCCTATATCCCCAGCTGCTGGCTCCTGAACACCCTCATAACTGAGAGAGGGAAATCACTTTGCCAGAGTCACACTGCCTTAACCGCAGACAATGGGATAGCCGCCCCCCACTGTCACGGGCTCTGGGGCCCTCATAGTAAGTTGCAGAGTGATGCTACCCCAGCAAGTCCCACAACACTGGCCAAAGTCAGAGTACCTGACCCTCAGGCCCCGAGACGGCTTCCTCCCAGGCCATGAACTGGGAACTCACAGTGAGCATGTACCTATGAGACCTCAGGCAACCCTTTCCACAAGGGCCGGAACCATGATCGTATCCACAAAAGCTTGCACAATGAAGCCAGGGATGAGTCACATTGCCAATCCGTGAATGAACTTCATCCACAAATAAGAAACTAACATTCAAGACCCAACTACATCAAGAGAACCCACATAGCTCAAGTAGGGGGCTCCACTAGATCACCAAGCCCAGAAGACCTTAGAGACCACATCACTGGAACCCCCAAACCACTAACTACATACCACCACCTCAAAAAGGACCTGGGTAGAAAAGCAGTTGGATCTATGACATAGAAACAATGAAAACGTTACAGCCAAAAATTGGGAGATAAATAAACAATCCCCAAAGGAAAGAAAAAGAAGATCACCAGAAAGAGACTTAAATGAAATGGAGGCAAGTAACAGGTCAGAGAAAGAATTCAGAGTAATGGTTAATAAGGATGCTCAAATGTCTAGATGAAAAATACACACAACTCAATGAGACTTATAAGGAGCTGAATGAGAATGTCCTTAACATGAAAAGGAACCAAGAGGAAATAATGAATGACCTACCTGCAATAAAGAACACAGTGGAAGGCTTCAACAGTGTTCTAGAAAAGGCTGAGGACTGCATCACTGAATTAGATGACAAGGTAGGAAAAAACACACAAACACAGCAGCAACTGGAAAGAAAACAAAAAGCAGGAGGAGAGCCTAAGGGAGCTTTGGGACAACACAAAATGAAACAACATCTGCATAATAGGGGTACCAGAGGGAGAGGAAGCAGAGCAAGGAATAGAAATCCTGTTCAAAAAATAATGACAGAAAACTTCCCTTATATTGGGAAGAAAAAAACCATACAAGTCCAAAAAGCACATAGAGTCCCAAACAAGTTGAACCCAAAAAAGACCGACACCAAGACACATCATAATTAAATTGGCAAACATCAATGACAAAGTAAGAATCTTAAAGGCTGCCAGAGAGAGACAGAAAGTTACCTACAAGGGATCTCCCATTTAGAATAAAAACTGATTTCTCAACAGAAACACATCAGGCCAGAAGGGAATGGAATGAAATATACAGTGATGTAAAGCAAGGGACTGAATCCAAGAATACTATACCCAGCAAGGCTATCATTCAAAATTGAAGGTGGAATCAGGAGCTTCTCAGACAACAAAGGGCTAAGAGAGTTTATTACCAAGCCAGAAATGCAAGAAATGCTCAGCAGCAGTTCTCAACCTGTGGGTCACGAACAATGAAAATACATCCTGCATATCAGATATTTATATTATGATTCATAGCAGTAGCAAAATTACAGTTATGAAGTAGCAATGAAAATAATTTTATGGTTGGGGGTCACCACAACATGAGGAACTGTATTAAAGGGTCGCGGCATTAGGAAGCTTGAGAGCCACTGAAGGGACTGCTATAAAAAGAAGAAATAGAAAAGCAAGAAGGAACATAAGCATGAAGAATAAAAATGGTGACAAACAAGTACCTATCAATAATAACATTAAATGTATATAATTAAATGCTCCAATCAAAAGACATAGGGTAGCTGAATGGATAAGAAAACGTGACCCATATATTTGCTGTCTACAAGAGACCCATCTCAAAATAAAGGATTTACACAGACTGATAGTGAAGGGGTGGAAAAAAATTTTTCATGCAAATGGAAATGAGATAAAAGCTGGGATAGCAATACTTATATCTGACAAAATAGACCTCAAAGTAAAGGCCACAGCAAGAGATAAGGAGGGCGACTTCATAATACTAAAGGGAGCAATTCAGCACTAGGAAATAACTCTGGTAAATATATATGCACCCAATACAGGAGCACCCAAGTACAGAAAAAAGACTTCTGGAAGATATCAAGGGAGAGATTGACAGCAATACAATCATAGTAGGGGACTCTAATTCCTCATTGACACCACTGGATAAATCCTCTAAGCAAAAAATAAAAAAATAAAAAAAAGCAAAGAAACAGCAATCCTAAATGACTCACTAGATCAGATGGACTTAATAGACATCTTCAGAACATTTCACCCCAAAGCTACAGATTATACATTCTTCTCTAGTACACACGGGACATTTTCAAAGATAGTCCACATGTTAGTACACAGGCAAGGTCTCTTCAAATTCAAGAAAGTAGAAATCATACCAAGCATCTTCTCAGATCACAATGGCATAAAATTACAATATAAACAATGAAAAAAATCAAACACTTGGAGGATAAATAGCATGCTATTAAACAATGATTGGGTTTAATAGCAAACAGATCAAAGAAGAAATAAAAAGTATTCTGGAAACAAATGACAATGAAACAAATTACAATGAAAACACAACAATCCAAAATCTATGGAACACAGTGAAAGCAGTCCTGAGAGGGAAGTTCATAGCTCTGCAGGCCTACCTAAAAAGAAAAAAGAAAAGGTAAATTATCTAACCTTGCAATTTAAAGAGAGCAGCAAGAAAACCCCAGGGTAACCAGAAGGAAGGAAATAATGAAGATCAGAGCAGAAATAAATGACTTGTAGGCCAAAAAACAATAGAAAAGATAAATGCAACCAAGAGCTGGTTCTTTGAAAGGATAAACAAGATTGATGAACCTAGAGCCAGGCTCACCAAGAAACAGAGAAGACAGAAATAGACAAAATCAGAAACGAAAGAAGTGAAGTAACAACTGACTCTACAGACATACAAAGGATTGTAAAACATTAGGAACAACTCTACTCCAACAAACTGGACAACCTCGATGAAAAGGCCATATTCCTAGAAAAATACAAGCTTCTAAAACTCAATCAGGAAGAATAAAAAAAAACCTGAATAGGCTGATAATGACTGGTGAAATTGAAACAGTAATCAAAAAGCTTCCAGGAAACAAAAGCCCTGGACTGAATGGCTTCACAGGGGAGTGTTACCAAATATTCAAAGAAGAACTAAAACCTATCCCTCTCAGACTATTCCAAAAAATTCAAGAGGAAGGCACAATTCCAA